TAACAAAATCGACACAAATAAAAATATATTTAAAACGCTCTAACTTTTTAAATGGTATTTCAATAATTGATTCGACTTTTAAATAACAAAATTGAGTAAAATATTGAAAAACATTTAAATTATACCCCAATTGTAAATTTGAAAAACGCAATGCATTGACCAAACACTTGGTTATGTCTTGAGTGGGGCTTATATTACGGTCAATTGATTTTTTGTCCCCAAGTATTGAAATTCGTATTAAAGATTTTTAACGTACAAAATTAAAAACGGTATTTAAAATATCAAACATTTACATTATACTAGATATGATAGCATGTACTGTACAGTACTTTCAGTTTTATCGACAAAACCCAAGAGTCAGTGCAAAACGAGTGTCAACTTTACGGAGAGAATGCATAGAAATATAATTCATTATTCATTTCACTTAACTTTCATTACAAAAGTTTACTATTATTTCCTTGTAGTCAATGGACTGTTATAATGCCAGTTATCGCCCAAACTATGGAAGACCTGATCGGCAAGAGATATGACATTAAAAAAATAATCAGATATAACATTAAGTGAACAAATGTTACCCTATTATCCCATTTGGTGCCCTTTTCCTGTCTCTCTTTGACGAGTTCCCTCTGTTTCTGTTCGATATTAAACTTAGCGGTTGTGGCGGCGCTCACCTCCTGTTGCTTGAGGGCTGCGGTCACTTGTTTCCACAGATTACGAGATTCGTATTCTTCCTGTTGACTAATGGGTTTCACCTGTTTCTTGATTATACGAATGGCTTTCGTGTCGACAAACACTTCCGTTTTGGCCGATTGAGTCCATTTCGCTTGCATTAAACCATTCCATTCGCCAGAAACCGTCAAAATTGACTTTTTGGTCGGCGGAGGGCTAAACATTTCGGCACTAATTCGATGCTTTTTGCCGCCATAGAAGGGCTAAGATTAGGGATTAGTAGAGATTATGTCATAAGAGATCTACTATTAGAGAGTTGCGGTCATAAAGTAATACTTTTGTCTGGAATTCAATGTTAGCAGAAAAGCCAGTCTGTTGGCAATGAATGGTGACGGGTCCGCCCAATTCAACCCATGGAACAGTCAGTATAGAGCGGCCGTAAGCACTGGGAAAAGTACAGACATACTCTTCCCCCTTATCTAACAAATATATGGATCCAATCCCTATATTATTCACTCCAATACTAAGGCCAAGGAATTTACTTTTTGTCCAAATATGACCTAAAATTGTAAAATAAATATTTATAATTAGTTGACATGTGTTTTCGTTTATCTTGAGCTCAAATACCAGAACACATGATCCGTTTTTCAACATTTTCAGCATAAAAAGCAGAGATCGGAGGATGATGTGAGACCTGTTCAGCGA